ACCCTATCATTTTCAGATTTACTTTCATATCTTTAGTAATCTCACGATAACATCATGATGTTTTTACTCTGTTTCTATGCTAATCAGTACCATTACAAGTGACTTGTTATTTTAAACTTCATAACAACTCTTTCCACAAAATTATGCATAATAAGATAAAATTTGACAAATTTGGACCTGATGTTCATTAAATTCACAGAAAAATTGAAAAGTAATTATCGTATTTTGACCTTAAAAACTATCAACAATGGACATCAAATTGAAAACTTGTTTCTTTGGGATGTGAGAATTTGGAAGAAACAAATTTATTGTTTATCATTCATAAAATGGTATCATTGGTATCAACACCAGTTCCCTATTTTCATCATAATTCATAAAATAGTCTGCACTTTCCTTCAGAAGATTGGGACAAAAATAGCCAAATTTATTTAGTAAAAACTGAAAATTTATTCAAATTTTGTCTGTTGGCTTCAAAATTGAGGTTCCTTTCCAGAAATATTGAGAAATACAAGAAAAAAGTGCAGGAAATTTGGGCAAGAAAGTCTGGTGGTCAAAAGGTTAACACTTCATTTAACCACCACCCTATAGTAAACAGTATCAATGTTCTTATTCTATCAAAACAAAAATCAGCCTCCTGACTTTGTTTATACTGTGAGCATTCATCTGTTACATAGTACTAATTAAAATCCACCATTATCGCAACTCTCAAAACATCTTTGATAAGTGATGTCGGTATAACAAACAGCACACAGATTGAAACCGCACGCCAAACACAATGTAACATGGGAGGGAAGAAAAGTAGCAGTGGATTTTTAAAATAATTTTGATCCATTTATATAAATTTTAAAAATGCATATGATTGCCATGACTGCTCCAATAAAAATTGTATTTACATCTGACCGAAACAAGGTTGGAACATATTTTTCATAACGAATTTACACAACAGACAGGTGATTAACTGAACGAAAAGACTAATTAAAAATCAGTGATGAGTTTGCAGCATAAACATAATTTGTGATAGATAAGAGAGTAAAAAATGGAGATTTGGTTTTGGAGGATAATCCCATGGCAACAGGTGGAGAGAAAAAAATAGTACTCACTGGGAAGGCCCTATTTTGGAGGTACATAACCGGATTGTAGTATGCGTAAGTACAAAACATGGATGGTGATGACGAGGGTGGTGAACTTCTACTGCTACCCCAGTGTAGATACATACATACAGTACGAGGAGATATATAGATTGATACTTCCTGCAGTTATCCAAAAACGATTGACGAACACAACGGATGTAGCAAACTAAACTAAACTACCATACATTATTACACTTCCTGACTGAAAACAGATCACAGTCGGGTTGATTTCACTTCACGATGACAGAGTTCGGCCAGCCATGGTATATATTTTTCTAACAATGATGGGAATACTGTGTTAACCCTTCGTAACCAAAGCACCATATGCCGCCAGCTACCAACCTCACTGCTCATTAATATTCATAAGTAGACCCCACTTTACAAGGCTTTCATGCATTCTACATACAACAAATAGGTGGCCGCTGTTATGCCGATCTACAAGTACTACGGTCAAGACTTTAAAACAAAACTTACAAGGATTAGAAAGAAAATAGCAGATACAGATACTATAAAAGTATTAAAATTTGTATTTTATCAAAATTATTTTAGAAAACAACTCTTTTAATACATTTTAAAAATTACAAATACTGGTATCTGTGAAACTAAAATTTCTTCAAATAAAATTTTTTTTTTATTCAAATGAATTCTAATTTCTACATTAAAATATTTTTTTTTTCATTAAATGCAATACAATTCCAATTATAATTGTCCTTTTTTTTCAAATGAACCAACAATACTGAAAGCATACTGGAGTCTATATTTTCACTTCTGCAGTGACCTTATTTAATAGTTCTTCAGGCAACTACCGACATTTTAACACTTCTGAAAATGTAAAAAGATAGTCTGCCTGCAGGTAAAGCCAGATGGTGTGGTATAACTTGTTGCAGGCAACCAATAGCGGTAAAGAATCAACAACAAAAACCACAGCATTAAATTGTATGTTATAAAAGTCATAACAATTTGATTTCTTTTTGTATTTCAGACATAAATTTGGCAATAAAATGTGAAATGGTTGTAAGAATGGGTAATTTTGTAATATCCCTCATTCTATTATCAGTCCTATAAATAAGTCCAGCTGTTACCACGACAAGTACAGCATAGAACACAAAGATAATTACAAAGTTTACATTCATACTGCATTAATTATATTGTTGGACTTTTTTAATGTATTAAAAAACAGAGAGCGGTCACATGACAGGGAGGGGGGTGGAGCATGTGACCCTGTGAGTACGGTCAAAAGACCAGTCAGTTGTATTTGATTGGGGGGGGGTTCGGTTTAATGAAGGTTTACGTTCAGAAAGTACGTTTGTGCATACCAATGTGACCTCAACGTTACTAAAAATAAGAATTTCATGAAAGTGTGACTAAAGTTAAGTGAGTTTTGGAAATCTTTCCCAGGTAAAATTAAAGCACTTCACAGTAGCACCCCAGTGTCAAAATTAAAGCGTTTTACAATATGTGGCATCTATCAAAGCAGCGGTGCAGAATGAAAGCTAAACATCGTTTGTAGCGAGGTGGGTATTATCCATGGACTGGACGTTTTCTGTCATCAATTAAGTTGGCTTCTCTGCTGCTAATAGTCTATCCGGTAATGCTCCATTAGTTTTGTATCTACACTCTCAACGCTTCACTGATCATACCAAACTAGTTTCTTTTTGTCTTAAAATAATTATCAAGAACCAATGCAATGCAGAGTTAAATATTCATAGCTCCTTATCTGCTGTATTGGATGATTTCATTTTCCCATGAACTTTAACCCCACTTAGCTGTCAATCAATCATATGTAACCATGACATTGTGTCGGTTTTAGAATGTGTTCCATTTTGATGATTGAAGTCATCATGTTCAAAAATTGTTTTGTGTGCTTTATTTATCAGACTCAGAACTGTCTCAGAGTGTTCACTCATGATTTGTACTACGCTTTGTCATAATTTTATTTCAATTAACCAAGTGTTCTCATGCAATACATCAATTGGAATAGGCCGAAATCTAAACAATACTAGCTTCTGCATTACCGCTGTCACTGACAAAGGTAGTGAACGTTAAAATAAACATTGCGGTAGGTGATTGTAATGAGGAAGAATAACAGTATGGTAGACTGGAATTAGGATATAATGCGACAAGCATTGTCTCATGGGTTTGATAACCCTGGGGAATGGTCAGCACACGAAAACATACCAGCTATGCATGAATAAATTAACTCTTTGAACGCTATTATATTCCCCACCAACATTTTGCACATTTTTATATAATTTTGTGGTTAAATTTGAATCAAATGGATAGAATTTTATCTTGACCTCAAGTCTCAAACAAAAAATATGGAAGAAACCATGCTATGGAAATCCAGTCTAGGCTTGTGCATTATGGAAAACCAGTCCATGTTTGTGAATTATGGAAAACTAGTCTGGGTTCCCCATCCTATGGAAAAACCCGCTCACATGTTTGTACATTATGGAAAACCAGTCTGGGTTAACATGCTATGGAAAAACGCCCCACACTTTTGTACATAATGGAAAACCAGTCTGGGTTGACATGCTATGGAATTCAGCCTGGATTTGTTTGCTATTGAAATCCAGACTGTGTTTTTGCACTATGGAAATTCAATCTAAGTTAGCTTAGCTATTGGTAAGTCAGTTTTTATTGTTTTGTTGTTTTTGTGCACTATGGTGGTTTGAACTCTGAAGAGCAGTAGTATAGATAAACCATAAAAGACTGATACAAGTAGACAATATTGGATCCTATACATGCCATAGACAACAATAGATGCATATAATTACTGAAAGTGACTATAAATGGCACTGTTCCTTCAAATGCACAGTAACTACCATTTTATTATTCAAATAAAGATAATAATCTAGACCCTGGAGAACGTTGATTCTCAGCAAAATACAAACAGCCTGGTAAATGGAACATCAGTGTGTCATTCTGATGTTTATAGATTTGGTGTTTGTTTCAAAATTGTGCAATTTTGAGTATGGCAGCCATTTTGTTTGCATCTAAAGCTTATTATAGGGATACCATACTCATGACTACAGGTACTGTAAAATACTTGATTGTAGCTGGAATTAATTTTAAAAAATTTTAGTGTTTGGATAGAATTTATTTTCTCTTATTTTTGATGAGTTGAATCTAAAATGGAAAAAAAGGTATATTTGCTGGATAGTATTTTAACTGAATCAGCGAAAATAAATACCAAGCAAGAATTAAGTATTTTACAGGAAGGTGTTTAATATGCAGTGTGTGGTTGTCTTTGTTTTATCAAAATCATTAAAAGTTCAATTCGGTGAAAGCAAATACACCCAAGCATATCAATCTGGGTTGCTGTTATTCAGTCTCCCAAACCGACCTGTCATCAGTTTCACCCACGATACTGCTATGCATTTTTGTTATGTTTCAATTCCAAGTTTACCAGTAATGCAGTAGTTCAGATGCACAGTGTCTTTATATGATGCCTAATTTGATCTAAACTTGCATTTGAAGATGCCAGTATCATAGATAAATAAATGAGGAGATGTAGTCAATGGTAACATCACTGATGACTATGTTCAAGATATAACATATATGTGCTCTGTAAGCCAGCCTATGATGTGGGCTTACACCCAAAATGCTGGTCTTTGCATTGTTGCCAGACTTGATAGTGTCTGCGTACACAAATTAATTTAGCCCAACACATTTAGCATTGCCAAATTCAGCACATGCACACACATTTGCAGTTGATCATCTTCTATAACAAATGCATCCTTTTTTTTTTTTTTTTTTTTTTTTTTAAATCATTGATGATTTCATGTTCATGCTAAATTCATCTCCCCAAAAGTACCAGGATGTTTGAACTTTAGGGGATTTTTCATAGAAACCAGGGTGACTACTTACCGGTGCTGCACTCAGACCTCTGGGTCTCTTTGCAGTAGGGCCTCCTGAAAATAGATAATAAAACATATAACTATAAACAAGAAACAGTGAAACAAGACAATAGTGTGAGAGGTATTATAATGAAACAGCTTGTACGCATATCATTCAGTTCAGTGAACAATCCAGATTTCATTTACACTACCAATACAGCTTATATTATCTCAAGGCTGAACTGGTTTAAATTAGAGATATTTCAGGCGAAAAATTTGTACACGAATTTCAACATTTGAAAACCACAATGTTTTGTGATCATATCCATTACTAGTATTTTCATTATTAGCCAACCACTGACCCAACTCAGGTTTTTTTTTTGTTCGAATAAAAATCAAATAATAATCAATATACATGTATGACAATATAGGTTTTCATCAAATCATTTTTAATATTTACATCCACATTATTCTTGATCACTCCCTCCCCATTTAATGCCTGCCAACAACTGACATTACACATCCAGATAAGTAAAGCCCTATAGTGAAAGTTCCTATTGCACAGTGTCATAGTATACAATGCTAGCCAACAATCTACCATAGTCAATGCCAAGCCCTACAAAGAATGCGATCCTGAACTCGTATACCGGGAGATACAGAAACCCCCAAGGCAGATAAAAACATGGACAGTGTAAGACAATCACCAAGTCGCCAGGAAATGGAAAATTATTATAAATTCCACATACAGATTACATACATACCACATGACAGCAAGACAGACATCAATGGCTACACACAGGTGCTGGTGTACACCTGTACATCCCACATACAGATTACACACATACCATATGACAGCAAGATAGACATCAATGGCTACACACAGGTGCTGGTGTACACCTGTACATCCCACATACAGATTACACACATACCACATGACAGCAAGATAGACATCATCGGCTACACACAGGTGCTGGTCTACACCTGTACATCCCACATACAGGTTACACACATACCACATGACAGCAAGACAGACATCAATGGCTACACACATGTGCTGGTCTACACCTGTACATCCCACATACAGATTACACACATACCACATGACAGCGAGATAGACATCAATGGCTACACACAGGTGCTGGTGTACACCTATACATCCCACATACAGATTACACACATACCACTTGACAGCAAGATAAGACATCAATGGCTGCACACAGGTGCTGGTGTACACCTGTACATTCCACATACAGATTACACACATACCACATGACAGCAAGACAGACATCAATGGCTACACACAGGTGCTGGTGTACACCTATACATCCCACATACATATTACACACATACCACATGACAGCAAGATAAGACATCAATGGCTACACACAGGTGCTGGTGTACACCTATACATCCCACATACAGATTACACACATACCACATGACAGCAAGATAAGACATTAAGCTACACACAAGACATATACATGGAATAAAGCAATGACAGACCCACACATATAAAAAACCCACACTTGGATATACCTTAAACATATAATTCCTCAATTCAATACAGTATATCCTCAATTTTGCAACAGAGTGAATACGGGTACTAATATATTTGATGAAACTGAAGTCCAACTCTATACTCGAAATAACTAAAACAACACATCTAACATACAGTAGTTACAGCCACTTTATATAAACTTTCTAGTGATTGATCTCATTTGCAAATGGCTGTTCTGGGAGCAAAAATCCATCCATTTTGTTTTTACCCCCCAAAAATTGCCCCATTCTTCATCGCATTAACTGTTTCAACAGTGGACGCAGAGAATGAAACATTATTTGACAAGCAAAAACTAGTCTGTGGCTCTCTCACTTACACCAAGATATTGGCAGATAAGGATTCCAAATCAGGGTGAATTATGAAACTTTGAAAACAGTAAACGGCTTGTTGGCTGTTAAAGTGAAATATAAATCCAGCTTATAAATCAATGAAAATTTTACTTTTTGTAAATTATTGGTAACTACCGTATTTGTTCTATTGGTGGCAGATGCATACATATAAATAAATGACCAACATCTGCTAATATTATAAATATTTCATATTTTCAAGATGCAGTACACAACATTGTTTTAAGTGGGCTTCTAATAAAGGAAATACGTTATATATTTTTTTCTATTTTTAGAGAAGTTTCATGGAAGTTTTCGAGTAACTATGGTGAATTTTTGAATTGTGAAATATTAACAGATGAAGACAAATTCACTTCTGATGTGACTGAGTCTCAACCAATCACATCATGCGTAACAGCTTAAGACAGGCTCACTTGTCATGTGACTGATCCTCAACCAATCACAGCATGCGTAACAGCTTAAGACAGGCTCACTTGTCTCAGATTCCTCAAAATTAACCGATGATAACTAGGTCAAAATACCACAAGCACAATTAGTATTTAGCAGAGAATTACAAATAGTTCTATTTTTATGTTTGAATGACAATGTTGAGTTCCTGTACGAGAAAAAATCAAACGAAAACCTTTGTGATGCAATGAAGCATGATTACGACTTTGATGTTTGTTAATTTTCCCGTACAAATCTATCGCACCTGTGTGGTGTATCATTCCATTGTTTTGTTTCAAGCGCTAAAATCTATAATATAAATTACAGATTCTCTCTTGAGATTCGGTATTGTTGAACTTTCTTAATTTTCATATAAAGTACCACGGTCGTTGCATCACATCATATTCGATAGGAGTCCCATGGGTCGTATACAAGGCAAGTAAAAACATCACTTGTTTATACAATATTTGAATGTATGCCGAGTGATGATGGGGATGCTTTAAGAAAGTTTAATAATCCAACATACTATGAACTACACCCGGCTGTTTATTAGCAGCCTGACAACCCAGATCACATTATCCTTTTTCTGGATATTTACAAAGAATTCAATATATTAAGTGAATTATCCTCTAACTTTGAAAGATACAATATCAAAATATTGCTCTGTCTCCCTCCCCTCCGCACCCAATCAAAGATTAAGGAATAATGCACAATTTTAACAATCTATATAATGCAGAGGATACAAACATTCAACCGAGTTTCCAAAGTTCATCATATAGGTTTTACGCCCTTATTTTTATCTACTCTTGCTAAACACTACATTCCTGACAGGTTTCCTTTCATCCCAATTAAAGTGTAGATAGAATAAAGAACTTTCACATTTGCGGTGATTTTGTTCTTATCTCTCTTCCCTCAAACCCTTTTTCCTGGATTTCAACGAGTGAGAATAATGTTTCTTTTCGGGCGGATAATCCCGGCGTAATAATCTACCGTACCAACTAAAGTGAGGTAATCCGATAGCGTTGGGAAACCTTAGATACCTTTTTGTGTATCTACGTTGCTCGAAGGGATCTAGCATTGTACAGCCGTAACACACAACACTAACAAGCTCAATCCAGCGGACTTAATTAGTAACAGTTCTCAATAGGGTACGTTGATTGGAATCGTCTTTTAAAGATATAATGTATCAGTAAGGGAAAGGAAATTGTTCGCCCACTTCGTCGGAAATCACAATTCTATCAGCGAACAGAATGAATACCAATGGAAAAAGAAGGATACAGGAACCTTGGCTTTAGAAAATTACTGTTTTTATCTTTTATACCTTTTTGCAATTTTATACTCTTTATCACAAATATGCATCAAGAATAAATCGCAAAAAAATTAATTTTAAGTTAATGCATCAATACCCCAACAATCTCAAAAAATACAATGGCTTTCCATTTCGTCAGATATTGTAAAGTCATCGCAGTCACTTGAAATAAATTGTATGTTTTTTATGTTAATTTTGCATGATTGAATTTTAGTTTTAAATATGTACGGCAACAAATGGTAACGCCGATTCATGGTTGATGTACAGCGTATAATGGGGCCAAGACAGTATACAGTTGTACATCTGTAATGTTTCAAAGTTTGCAGAATTTCTGAAGTCCCTAGCGATACGAAATCCTTGGGCAATATCTTATGAAGGTAACCATCTGTTGGTTGGGACCCATCTTCGATATAATTAGTTTTATTACGATGATTGATGTTGTGTATAACCGCTAATTTCAAAAAAGAGTCCACAAAGGATTCGTGGTTAATAACTTCTTACAAAAAGAAAAATTAATTTGTGGTTCAATCAATCAGGGGCTTATACTTTTTATGATGAAATCTTGATATATCTTGATGTCGTTTTACCGTCTCCTAAAACTCCTCATTTCCTATCTGACCAAATAGAATCAAGATTTCAAACTGTCATGCATGTTCACTTCATCACATCGTCATGGTAATCAATCGTTAACATTATAGCTATTTTATAATTTCATTATAACTGATTTGGCAAACCATCTACAAATTTGATCAAAAATCCATGCACCTGAAATCTACAAACAGTCATTTACATCACACTACCTTATCACCATAAAACAATGAAGAAGCCCCCCCCCCCCTCAACTTCTCAGTTCAATGTAAAACGATCTGAAATATTTTATTTTTTTTTTACAGATAAGCTTTTGTCAGTGAATTAAGAAACTTTCCCTTTTATTAGATGCAGTTCTTATTTCAAGTTTTATTCGCAATTACAAATTACTCTCCGTAATTGAAACTCTTTTTTTAAAGAATGTCAACAAAATAATCATGTCCCATAATTCCATAGTGCAATCCTTAACAATGAGAAGCAGAAGTGTTGAAAGGGCTCTCTGACAGTGAACCAGAGAATTATGGGACAGTGCTATTCAATATGGACCATGGAATTATGGGACAGTGCTATTCAATATGGACCATGGAATTATGGGACAGTGCTATTCAATATGGACCATGGAATTATGGGACAGTGCTATTCAATATGGACCATGGGATTTTGGGACAGTGCTATTCAATATGGACCATGGAATTATGGGACAGTGCTATTCAATATGGACCATGGAATTTTGGGACACTGCTATTTAATTTTAATCATGGAATTATGGGACACTGCTATTTAATATACTGTTTACACAACAAGTTCGTCTTTTGAACAATGAGGACATTTTTATAGTATACTGTTAATAGCATGCCTTATGAATGACCCTAAAAGGTCACACATCCTGGTACTTTCTGGGGGACTAATTCACTATTAATAATTTCTAAATATTTTACCAATGAATTACAAGCCGTTGAAAATATTTCTGTTAGATAGTTATACACAAAGTGGGAAAAATAAATACAAACCAAAGAAGTTACAGCAATCCCATGAAGATGAGTGGAATGTCAAGACTGATGTTGACAAGGAAGAGTAGAAGTCTAAGGGACGACGTCAAAGATCGATGTCAGGATAAAAAACTTATTTCCTTTAGTTTGGGGGTGGGGGGTTTTGACTTCAAAAAGTTTCCATCCTACAAAAACGATTTTATTTTTTAATGAAGTCAAAAAAATCTTGGAGTATTTGTAGTTCGTTTTTTTTATATCCAGGGAAAAAGGGAAAAAACAGAAAAATTGTTTGGTTTGAGTGTAAATCTGTGCGTCAAATGAGATGCATTTGTAAAATCTTTTTACACCCACCCGACAACCAACTCCTATGCAATACTACTGTCCGATTATCAATTTGTATTTAATGGTGAATGTAGTCTGACGCCATGACCAATATTTATCAATTAAGTTTCAGTGGGGGGTAGGGGGGTTTGGAAAAAAACTAAAGGAATTAAGTTTTTTATCCGACATCGATCGTTTGACGTCGTCCCTAATGACATACCAATTACATACAGATAGCTTACAAAGTCACACCAAGTACATTATCATCATATCAAATACATACAACATTTAAGGTATCCCACTTCCAAGATGCAGTTTGCCATGAGATGGGATCGGCTACAACAGTCAAGCTTCAGAAGGTGGATGTACCTTAAGGACAGACTTCCCTAAAATCACATGCTACCAAAGCAGTGCATCTCCTTCTCACTGACTAATCTTGATTAGAAACAAACTTGATTCTGTGACTCACCTGCTAGTCTTGAAGATTCAGGCACTAATGGACGTCGAGCACTGTTATTGTAACCAAATGGAAATGGTGATCCCCTTTTACTGTGTGGTGAAAGGGAATTTGGACTTGATAGAGGCATTTCATTTGCCATTGATGACATACCCGCCTACAAATAAGCAGAAACTTAATTACAACTTAATACAGAGCAAAACTCTTGTTATTTGTTGTTCTGCAACCACCACATCTGGAAAAAATTCTTTAATATTCAAATGAGGGTACACAGGAAGTAGGTGCACAGGTACATTTCCATTGTGTCTAAGTTTTATGAACACAACAGGTAAATAAATGCCACTGTCTCAGACTCCAGGTGCACAATTTGCATAAGTACCCCTAGTTTGATAATAAAAATCATTCAGTCAGAAGTTTGAAACTGCCAGCGCATAAACACATAACACAGAGAAATTCTTATGCTTCCCTTTGTAAAAACAGCAGATAAAATAAGCAAAATTTACCAATTTAGACATATCTGATATCTGGAGACAATATCAACAAAACTGTGGAACAGAGTCTAGTTTTTGTGAAAGTGAAAATATGACATGTTTTTATCTAGTACCTTCAAATTTTAGGATGTATTAGATGCTAACTTCCACATACTCGTACTAACATACAAGATAGTAGACTTCATATATATATATAAAAGATAAAAGACAGATTGCAACAAGATAACCTTCAATATTAAGGTCTGCCCCAACATTTCACTATCATCATGAGTACAGATAACAATAGTTGCCTTGACAACACCACAAAGTTCTGATAAGAAATGAATCTTGATTGGATAGAATGCAGTCACATGACCAAGTATAACTTACATAAAAAAAATGGTTGCTGTGTTTCAGTTTTATAGAATTCCTAGTGCTATTTTATTTATTTTTCAAAGATTTTAATTTTTCAAATGTTTTCAGGTAGTTAGTGGAATAGTGAGCATTACGCAATTGTACCTTTGAACTTTGAATAAAGCAGATTACAAATTTTAATCTTATTCAGAAAGATGACTTGACAAAACTTAAATGATCCGTCAACCAAGACTTTTGCAAAATGTTGGGGCCGCATTTTGAACATTCTTGTGTATTTTTTGTTAATTTTCAACCAGACAATCACAAATTTCTGATTGACAATATTTTTTTTCCCTGACATTTAAAAAATATCTGAAAAATTATGCAGCAAATTGTGAAGGTGATGATAAATTTACTTTGATGCTGAAAGGATTAATCAAAATTTGTAATCTCTGATCAAAATCTGTTAGTGATTTGAACAATATTGAAAGTAGAGGAAATTACAGAAAAAAATCACTAAAATTAGGTTTGGTTGCAGATGATAATAATAAGATTGAAACCAGTCCAAATTTTGGTATAACATTTTACGTATTTTAATGTACTAGTATTTTTCTAGATGTTAATTTTGTTTGAATTTTGAATCAAAATGAAATAATTCCCTATTGGCTACAAATTTTATTGAAAATATCTGAAAAAAAATGAAAAGGTGACAAATGTTGACTTTGCCATTTAAAGGTTAAAATGTATGATAGCAATATTTCAATAGATAACTTTCAAAAATTACAAATATATTTTTTGTATATAAATAATTAATAAGTCAGGTTTGTCATATTGTATGGGAATGGACACCTCTAGTGAGCTGTGGAAATGTAATACACGCTGATGGAATCTACACGAGCAAGAAAACTCAAAATGTGCGAGTATGAATGAACTTTGATAGTATTAATAACACGGGAGGAGAATCCGTCCCTAAGGGGGTCAACATCTTTAACAATAGTACCGATATCCTCTTTCAATTATACATAGAGACCTTGTACAGAGAGAGGAGCTGTGGCTCTTTATAGCATGAATGCTGTGAAATTTTTTTAAATATTTAGCACATTATATGCATAAATATACAATGTGTTTGAACAATTGTTGCTGAAGTGCAGTGATATCAGTGCAATACTAAGTTTCATATGTACATTATTTCTTCAAGCAACAGATATAATCAAGGAATGACCTGGATTGATGATAGTTGCCTTCCAAGTAGCATTACTGACTAGAGTTAACTCAAAAATGTTTACATGTCCAAACTAAAACTGTCATCTGTTGTTCACAACAGCAATGCTTTAATGTTACCAGAGACAAAGTTTTATGAACCACAACGTGTTGTAACTGTGTAGATATTTGTTGTGGTCCTTAAAACAACTTCCGTGAGAATAGTTGTCACAAATGCTCTTATACCCACCACAAAACAGACTTTAAGATGCAACCTGACTGTAATAAACCTGATAACAATTTGTGGTTGCCATGACTCGCAAAAACGAACAGGCCAGTAGCACCATGCATAATGTAGTATATGATCTATTCCTCGTCTGCTGGTTTTAAAAAAACTAAATGTGGTACAATGTTAACATGAGACCTAATGACAATGGTCAGTCATGACACTGCAGATACCCTCACTAGAAAAATCCATCATAAAATCTATCAATGTGCTCATCATCATTCAAAAGAAAAATTACAAAAAAACGATAAAATTCATGCTTACAGGGACACAGTAGTAGATACTTGGATAAACCAAGACAGATCTCTGAAGGAGTGACATGATGACAGACGCCACGGATACCGCAAATATCTGCTCGAAATGATGGTGCACTATGGCAACTGGTTGATGCAGTTATCTGACCTCCAGAGGAGACAACTGGGTGTGAAGATCAGATATCAAATGGACGAGTAAATAACTATCTACAAATGATCATCCATCCTTCTATCTGGCATCTCAGCCAATAAAATCACACCACAAGCTCTTCAATAAAAAATTAAAGATGCTACTTTACAAAATACAGCTATCAAAGGGATCAATTGATCGGTATAGTCTTAAAGAAGAGTTTAACATGACAATGAAAAGTGTATCTTCTATAGATGAATGTGATAAATGGCCAGAGTCATTTCCTTTTCACCCATCTAGCATTGATCACAAGTATACCTGAGGAAAGATTAAAGCAATTGAGTTATATTGACTCTAAACTTCTATCTCATTAACGATGAAAAGCCAAAATTTGGGACATCTGAGCCACATTGTCGAAAGTGATTTCTGATTGGTAAAGCGCTTTCCCCTCTTCTGCATCACATAGTTGGTTATGGGATCTCCTAGCAACCCATCTGTATCTAAAGGCGCAACATCCCCTGTATCCATGGAGTGTGAATGTGTGTCATTTCCAATTTGGAAAGTAACTGTAACTTTCTATACAGCTATATATCAATAGTCAGCAGTTGATTTTCCTAACCACTGGTGCCCACATTTTTATCCTTCCTTCAGTCTATATAAGCACATATAACTTTTCATTTTTCAAATCCTGTAATATTGAGCAATACAGATACCATGTATATCCAAATTATGATGACAAATACTATATTGGAATAACTTCTAATTATAAAGATTAAAGGTTGTTCTTTTTTAATCTATAAATGTGTATAGTTTGACGATGAGATTTTAAATAGAATATTAATGTTAAAGGTACACCACAGGTAGACAGCAAATCTATCACATTTTTACCAAATAAGGAGATTAGGACAACAACCGCTAGGAAGACGTACTTTTATCAAACTAAATCACCATTAATACTTCTTATCACTGGATAATGTCCATGTTGAACACATTAGTTTTTACGACTTGTGCTATCATTTTATTTTTATGGCCGTGGGATTTCTGTTGTTGAAATTATTTGTTGTATCTGTCATGCAAAATTCATTTAAACCATTTTAACCTGTATTTCCAGAGAATTATCCCTCATATAGAAACCTATGTTCTATACCCAATACCTTATTTTAGGTGAAATAGATAATGTACATAGAACTGTTAATTATTCATGGGACGCGAGTTTAATCAAGGATATGAAATTAGAATGGAGATATGGTTCCTTTATTCCATGCACATCATTAGACGGAAAATGTTATGTTAACATAGCAGCCAGCAATGACTCAACGTGCTGTTTGCATCGCATCAAACTACAGAAAACTTGTTGTCAATGAAAGCTCCCATCTACAGCCATAATGGATTTACTAGCAGATTACTACAATCACAATTATTTGGTTTTATGCAATGCTGTATTGGATAAAGAATTAAGAAAACATTGATATCAGTAAAGTCGGTGGTCATCTGGACTCAGATGATAATCTGAACCATCATAGCCATATAACCACATGTTGAGCAAAACACACCATCATATCCATCTAAGCTATCTCAAACCCATCACCACCAAAACACCACAATAATTAGTTTACTTACATCCCTGTCGAGAACCACTGTAAAAGCAGACATTATTAACTACTAACGGTCACTACGGCGGACGCTTTATTAAATTTTACATTTCCTGTACTGAGAACAAACGCTTCACACTGATTTCAAAAAAGGATTAAGCCACCTCATGAATATTCATGAGGATTATAATATTTAATAAATATTCAACAAAATGAAAACAAAAATTGAAAGATAAAATGAATATCATTCTGTGAATCAGAAATTGATGCATGTTTTACCATAGCATTTTAAATCATAACACATAAAACAGAAAAGAATTTTTAAAATTTATATTTCATTTTTTTTTTTGGTTTAATTTGTGATTGTTTGCTCGCTGAACCATGTAATCTATTTAAAAGAAGCTCATTGGTTCTTCTAGTCAAAACAAATTATGATTTATTTTTAAAAAAATATGATTAGTGATAAAAAATAAAATTGGCACAAAAATGACAAAACTTGGTTTTTTATTCTTATTACTTGCATCAGCATTGAGAGGTCAAAACTGGTGGTTAATCAAACTATTATTCTGACGTTGATTGTTTTCTTAAAAGAAAGGGATGTTAGCGTGAAATCCATTAATTAGGGACTAATTATACAATTGTTAAGAAACACAAGTTCAAATGAGTAATTAACTGGGAGACCGGGAAAACTTTATAAACCCCAAAAATATAATAGAAAAAATACTTAGAAAATACTGTAGAAAAATGTTTAGTAGATCAAGTTCTTCATGGACATGAAATTTCAAGCGTATACATTCTGTGAATCTATTGCTTTTCATGAAAGATAAAATTATGTGTAACTCCATAATGAAATGAACAATATTTGCTGATG